ACCCTTGCCAAAAAGATGTCAATTAGATGGTGATTCTTTTTACACACCATGAATTAGGGAATAAAAGTTAATCTTGTAGTAGTCAATACATTCAGCCAGAAGAATGTCAGGACTTTTCTCTGTAAGATAAAGAGGCTGAACCACTACTAGACACCCCCCACCCCTGAATGGTTTATAGCAGGAAATCAGTAAGTACCCTACTACTTATATAAGAGCCTTGGGGAAGAAGGGAGAGGTAAGCTGGTTTAGCGATGTGGTCGTGGGGTGTGTGACCTTACAAGAGAGCCATGACCTAGTGAGTGAATGAACAGCTGCAGTTACTACCTCTTCTTTGGATGATACCCTGAAATCTAACCTTTTTAACTCTCTTTAGGCAAGAAGCTATGGACTGAAGAAGCTATGATCACATCTTTCCTAGAAAAAATGCACCGATCATGCAAGGGTTAGAGAATGAGAAGCAGGAGAAACTGATGCCCTCTTTTATCTCTTCCCTTTTGTCAATAACCTAATTAATAAATGTCTTATTTTTTAAGTGCCAAGTGATACAAGTTTCACAGAGAAAGTTATACTAATACAAAATACAAATGCCAAAGCCATGCAACATGGGCATCCTTAACATAAAGAGGGGAAAAAAGAACTTAATTTGGTAGCACTAATTTCATACAAATATGTGCTGTCACTTATGCTTAAAAGATGAAGTATTAAAGTGCTAACTAACATGACCACAACTATCAAAAGTTCTAATCCTGCCAAAGGCTGTCACTTCTAACAGGTGCCACCAGAGAAGAGGCAGCCTACTCTCACTTGATTGTACAAAATACAACATGTACACACACATACCACTTTCAGTGAGAGCACGGCCTGCCACATTTCTTGCCCCAAAGTTATATTTATTTAAAAATGGTTTTTTCCCCACTCACCCCCACATAGTCTCTCTCATATTTAAAATGCTGAAAAGTCTTACTGAAATTATTGACGTTTCTTCATTTTCACTTCTCCTGTTGGGTACACTGACGGTACTTGTGGGAATAAGCTCCGAGGGCCCAGATGGTTCCTTCAGGTGCTGCAGGTAGTCATAGTTGTCATCAAAGAATACTCCATACTTCCTCTGTTCTGCGCGTCTCTCTTCATCATTTATCTAGGATAATAAACAAAATGGAACTAGAACCTCTTCCAAGATTAAGGAACAAGAACCTACCTTAATGAGCACAGCTTTCAGAACAGGAGGCAGATGGCACATGGACACTTGGCTTATAGGAATGAGACAACGAATTCTTGACAAATTCAGGAAACAGAGCTTCTAAACCATGTGCCACATAAAATTAAAATGGAATGGAATAATTCCTTTCACTAGACATCTCTCTGCAACAATGAAAGCAGAGAAATGCGCACACACAGTAATTTATCATGTACCTGGAAGATTAGAAAAAAAGACTAGGGGGCCTTGAAAGGTTAAGTACAACTTCTTGTATTTGTATGAAAAGAAACTTCTCAATATACAACACAAACTGGCTTTACTGAAAAGCTAAATAGGCCCAATGTTCCCCAATACTTCCTTTCACATTACACACACTTAACAAGCATACTGACTGGTAATTACCAAATCAACCTTTCTAAGCAGGGGTGGGGGCCGTATATGGCCCTCAAAATGATTTGGTCTGGCCCTGCCAAGGCAACCACAGGCGGAACTCAAAATTCAATAATGTTAGCAGCTTTTTTCATAATTTTTAAGTTGATAATTTTGTATGGCCCGCGAATGACGTTTTAAATATTCAAATGGCCCTTGGCAGATAAAAAGTTTCCCATCCCTGTTTTAAAGGCTCCCTGGCATTTTCTAAAGCTAACTTATGAGTTTCAATGTTTTACATTTCATGAGATGAGTGACCAGGAGGCAAAATGCAGTTCGTGGTTATGAAATGAAAGGATGTTAGGGAAAGCAGAGACTGAGCATTTGGTTGTGCCCTAAATAACATCATGCAGTATTATAGCTGATGGCTTAGTAACTATAGGGTGTCCCAAAAAAGCGTATACACACATTTTGAATAATTATCAAGGCAGTGTTCATTAAAACACATTTCATTTCCAAAACTGAGCTATCAGCTGTTAAAGTGTGCACACATTTTTTTTGGGACACCCTGTATTTATCACAACTCTGTAGGATTTGCTCACTGAACGTCACAAATGAGGATGCTTTATCGTCTCAATCAAAATGAATATGCCTGATGTAAAAATTGGCACATTTACTGAAAATTAAGTCACAGATTTGGTTTCCCTCAAGATCAGTTATATACATAGGAGGTGGCTAAAATAATTTATTAAAAACTGCCAACAGTCCACCTACAAACTCGTTGGCTGAAGAACAGCACCTACTTTCTGTGTAGGCAACAGAACCCTCTGGGGTGCAGTCTCATCTGCTGCTAAAGGATCTCGTTGGCTCCGATGGACCAGGTGGAAAGACACAGCTTTCTTCTTTTCTATAAAGGGCTTTTTCTTCCTGTGAGGCTTCAAAGGACAGAATCAGAACAAGTCATTAAAATAGAACCAAAACACGAGTGGACAGTACCATAGTCCACATAGGCATCTTCAATAAGTTATGTGAAGGATCAACAGATTTTTGAAACCTACACTTCTAGGGCAGGCAACAGCAACTGTGTTCTATAAAATCTACACTTACCTTTCTCCAGTACACATGTTGGCACCTACTCTGTAAGCAGATCTTGTTATGGGCACTAGGGATACAGCAATGGGAAAGTCCGACAAGCCCCTATTCTTCTCAAGTAAATCATCAGGAAAAATGATTTCAGGTAAAGAAAAGAAAACACAGTGATGTGCAAATGACCGAAGAGTTACTTTCGACTGGGTGCCCACAGAAAGTCCCTGACAGGCTGAACCAAAATGACAGCGAGGTTGCCACAAGAAAATCTGGGGAAGGCAGCTGCAAGCGGGGTACACACTTCATGTACCAACTATTACGTAAACCCAAGACACAACAGATGAAGTTCAGGAAGGCTCATCATACATTTCTACATTTTTATTTCGCTACCCAGCCTTGATTTTCTAAGCTGAGAAAGCATCATCCAGTTGAGCAAGCCTCCTTGCTTCGGGCGGAACCTTAGACTCTCCCACAAGCTCCCCTCCCCAGAGCAAACCGATGGGCAGACACGCCCCTCTCCGCCCGACCCCGCGGAACACGGGGTGGTGCGTTTGTGCCTGTGTCACCAAGGTTTTCAGGCCCTTCGGGGTGAAGGGGAGGCCACTCTCTAACGTCCATTCCCCAGGGAGGGGCTTGGCCATGGGAAACCCACTCTAAACTGCAAAGTACGCCCGAGGTGGAGAGGGTGGCCCACACTGGGCCGGTCGCCGCCGCCCTCCAGCCCCAGGGCGCGGCGGGCACCGGCATTCCAGGAACCGGCCGGGCTTCCGCAAACCC